CGGGGGAAAGAGATCGACTTGGTGGATGATTGTAAAGAAAAAGGAGGGATTGGCTTGCGGAGAGAAATAAAGGGGGAGGGGGAGAGGGAAGGAAGCAAAGGTGGGGAAATGCCTCCTTCTCGCAAGTTTCTTGCGGGTCCCCCCTTGTATTTCTCCAACTTTAAAACGCAGCCAACAAATAAAAATTCAAGTGGTGAAGCTTTTCCAAGTCACTACGCTGATTTTTCTGCTCGCTTTTAAGACACTGAAAAGCACAGGAATCCACCCAAGCGAAGCCCCCCCCCCCCAAAAAAATCTATCTTATTTTCTGTGAAGACAGGATGCATGTTTTAAGGCAAGGCGACGATAGGGAGCTACCTAACCCCGAGGGTTGTTGTGTTTTTTTACATTATTTGCTTTGATGCCTCTCCGTGCTTTTAACTTACTCCACCTACGGACAATTTTGCCAAGCGACTTCAAACACTCCCACTCAGCCCAACCCACCTCACAGTGCTAACGGCAAAATTAACCAGGCAGAAACAGAAAACCTTCCCTAAACTCAAGCCACAAACTAGAAATTCAACACGAAATGAAAACTCGCCCCTTGAAAAAACAACAGTTGCAGAAACGCCACCCCTTCCACTTCCAGGAGGATGACGTCAGCGATACAGGCTCCGCCCCCGAGCGTGTGACTCGGATTTCTTCCTCGCTCTTTCCCGCCCTCCCCCGCTGGCGGAAACCATTCCGGGTCGCGCCAGGCGAGCCAGGTAATACTTCCCCTCATCGCTCTACCCACTGCAATAGAGGAGGGGGATTACGACCCCTCCTCTCTTTCGAGCCCAGCAGAAGCTGCGCGCGCGCTGTCTTGTCCCCTCCCCTCCGAGCCGCTAGGTTGAAGGATTGGCGGTTGGGGCCCGGGGCGGGGCTGAGGTCAGCTTTCCCTGCTGAGCAGTTGGTCTTTCCTCAGTCCCGCTTTCCTCGCTCGGGGGCATGAGATCCTAAGGGGGCGGCCGGCTTTCTGGGCGGCCGGAAAGAGCTGTTGCGTCCTCGCTCGGGGTCACCTTGAGCCGTCGGGAACGGCTTATTTTCCTGGCCCCGTTCCTCCGTTGTTTCCTTCGTAAACGCACACTGCCTGCGGGGGTTGCCCGCTGGAGACCCTCCTGCTCCTGGTCCAGTCCCCCCCCCCCGGCCTTTCCTTCTCCTGTCACATCCCCGGTCGCCCCTCCGTGAGCGACTCAACCCATTTAGTGCCCACCTGAGACAGTAATCCTACAATACCGTTGAACGAATCGCTCAGAATGGCTACCAGTATTCGACATATGCTGGCGCACATTAATAGTACTGTAGGATCCACAATGAGCCTGGAGAAACATAGCTTCACCTGTGGGATTTATCGCTGCACAGATAATGCATTAAAACAAGGGTGACTGGTTGTTTACAGCGTTGTCCTTTTAAGTAGGAGCTGCGGTGGCTCAAGTGGTGAAGACGCTGAACTGCAGGCTGTGGAAGGTCGGTAGTTCAGGAGTTGGAGACCCAAGTGTGCTGCATGACGGAGTGAGCCCCTGTCTCTAGTTCCAGCTCCTGCCAACCTAGCAGTTTGAAAGCAAGAAATTGCAAGTAGATAAATAGGTACCACTTCAGTGGGAAGGTAACAGCGCTCCCTGCGCCTTGGTGTTTAGTCATGCCGGCCACATGACCACAGAAATGTCTTCGGACAGCGCTGGATCTTTAGCTTTGAAATGGAGATGAGCACCACAACCCTAGAGTCGGATTCGACTGGCTTTCAAGCAAGGGAACCTTTATCTTTTAAGTACTCTCCCCAAAGGGTGAAGTTATTGACCTTCGGGTGGCTATTGTGATTCCCACCGAGGTTCTGTATCTTGCCTGCTTCCAATTGTCTGTCAGTGAGAATCTCACCTCTCGTTTCCACCTGTGATGGCCACATTTTTTTCTTAGCCTGGCAGGAAGTTCTTTTAGTGAAGTCTGGCAATTCCAGAGAACCTAGTATTAATTAATGATCGGCACAGCCCTGGACAATGTTTCTGGTAGTTTATTATGCCTGCTGGATGATAAAACTAAATTGCAGAAGCAGTTTGGGGGAAAATGTTTTTGAGTGCTTCATTGTGGAGTGAATTTTAATCCTGTGGCGTTTTTTATTGCACCGTAGATACTTTTTTTTATGTGTTGTTAGCTGCCCTGAGCCTATGGGAGGGCTATACATGTTTTAAAATTAAATGGTGAAAGTTGCATGTGTTGGATTTCTGCCTGTTACATGGCTGTAAATGATCCTGGTGAGGTGATGTCTGCCTGATAACCTTCTTTCCTTGTGACTCCACTCCATCTCTTTGTATTGTCCATAGTCTCCTCTGACACCACACCACCAAGTCTAGAGAGACTCATTTAACTGCTGCTGGGGGACACTTGCTTTCTTATTTTGGAAGGCTATGCTGTTGCCTCCACTTCCATGCTTCCTGCCAGCCCCTAAGGCCTTGCCTTATCTTCTGCACACTGTAGCTAAAAACAGACCTCCATAAATTCCACTAATCCTATGGGAGTTCACTCATTTCTGAAATATGTGCCAAATTGTCTGCCTGGTCCTGGGGAACCCTTATCTTTATGACATCCCCCTAGTTATCTCAGTTTTCTTCCCTTCATATCACAGGTTTACATGTCACTGCAACCCATCTTGCCTAAACTGATTGATTGATTTATATCCCCTAATGAACATCCAGGTATGCAAGTGCCATCAAATTACAACTGACTTACAGTGACCCCAGCAAGGTGCTTTCCAGGCAAGCGAAAAACAGAGGTGGCTTGCCATTGCCTTTCTTGGTAATCTCCCATTCAAGTACTTACCCTGCTTAGCTTCTGTGATGTGACAAGATAGGCTTCCCGCAAAACAGAGCTGTATACATTTATCCCTCACTGTAACGACACCACTGTGAGGTAGGTTAGGCTGGAAGATAATGACCATCCTGTGGTCAGGCTGTGTAATTCATGTCAGGGTGAGAATTTTAACTTGGGTCTCCCCAGTGCTACTTGTTGAACTTTCCACACTGGCTTATAGAGATCAGCTGAGATGCCTTTTGTTGCATGAGAATTGTAATAAAATCTTACTGTGTGAGCTCTGGGAAATAAATGTACTAGAAAAAAGCAATCTAGCTTCTCTCATCTGGTTGCTTAAAACATTTAATGGTTATTTTTAGATTTAAGATTGAAGTATGTCATATGGTAAACTATGATTAATGCATTCTTTTTGGAAGGAGTTCACTTTTAGAGACATCCTTAGGTCAAGCTTCTCCCAAACAATATCTGCACATATTTTCCTACCTGCCCTTTATGGCATGAAGTCAGAGTCTTCATTATAAGAGGGCTGCCCAGAGGGTGGACAGTTGTGCTACCAAGAACTGATGGATGCTGAGCAGTTCAAAAAACACATTTAATGCTCCATAGATAGTCCTGAGAATGGCAAGACTATGAGTCTAGGCAAATTGAGTGTAAATATAATAAATAATAGTTTAATTGTTTTAAGGAGGTTGTCAAAAGATAGGAATCCAGATCATTCTTTCCCCAACCCCAGGCCAGTAAAAGACAGGAAACAAAGTAGTTTAACAAGTAATTTGTACAGATATTTTCTTAAGATCTCTACAGGAGTTGGATGTAAAAAAATACTGATTTGACATAGTGTAGTAGTAAACTGTAAGAGAGTGTGACGAATGAGATGGCAACACATGTAGATGTTGCAGAACACTAATGCTGACAAATATGAAGTAACAATGTTAACCCATTCCCAACAGCGCAAATGTTGGGAAGTTTATAGATTTACAGAAAAGAGAATGATCCAAACCTTATTTTCTGCCAATGGAAGGGCACTTTCACTGGTCACAGATGGAATTTTCCACCTTCCCATTCCTGCTGCAGCTCCCCAGATGTTAAAGGACCCATAGAAACAGTGTTGGGTGTAATGTGTGGGGAAGACTGTCTACAGAATTACTGAAAATCACCAGGGAAAGCAAATAGATGAGGGGGGAGAGAGGAAGGAAGGAAGGCCCTTCCACCCCGCAACCAGCGGCCAGGCCGAACGGATGGTGTGCACTGCGAAGGACGCCCTGAGTCAAATTTCAGAGGGGGACTGAGAGTTCCGCTTGGCCCATTTCCTCTTGACCCAGAGAAATACACCTAAGCCCGCCTCTGGCCACAGCCCCGCAGAGCTCCTGATGGGCCGGCGCACGACAAGGCTGTTGGATCGGCTGCACCCAGACCGGGCACCGGACGCAAGGAAGTTGATCAAACAGCGTGAGGCTCCGAGAGGGTTCTTCCCAGGGACCCTATATTCCTCCGGAACTACGGGATCGGGCCTCCATGGATCGCGGGCTGAGTCACCAAAGTCAGGGACCCAGTGTCTTACGAAGTGTCGACAGACGACGGACAAATTCTACAAAGGCACATCGACCAACTACGGACGTGACAGCTCCTGGAAGCAGGCGAAACCCCTCAGTTAACGGCAGGAGCGGGAATGCACACTCCGGAACCCAGGGGGCAAGCCGACGCCCCAATCCACAAGGAGTCCACGCCGAACGAGGCACCCCCGGAAGTCCCCGAACCAGCAGCCCAACAGCCATCACCCCAATTGGCGCCACAACCCCCGGTCCCTGCGAGTCAACTGGAACCGGGATCGAGGGAACCAGTACCGGCCCCCAGACGTTCCCTCCGTGAGCGCCGGCCCCCCACCTACTTGCAGGACTATGTCACATAGGTAGGGTCTAAACTATGGGGGGAGGAGTGTTATGTACGTGGGCCACCACTAGGGGTCTGCGGCAAAGACTGGAGCTTGGCTCCCCTGGACAATAGGAACATAGGATTCTAGTTCCCCCCAGCCCCAACCAATAACCATTCTGGCGGGAAATTCAAACCCTCCAATGGACTAAGGCTATACTGGGTGGGTGTGTATATAGTTGGCCTTGCAAGGCCATTTTAGTTAGTCTTGTGTTAAGTACAATAAACATGTGCAAGAGCATGTCGTCGTCCGAGTCCTCCATGCGGCGAACCCAGTACTTTTCTCACCCCCCCCCAAAGATTACGCCTATGCCCAGGCTTACCAGCAGCTCCCAGTAGATGATGCCACTGCAGAGGCCCAGACGATAGTGACACACCGGGGTGCCTTCAGGGTGCACAGGCTGCAATTTGGGGTCAGTGTAGCCCCAGGGATCTTCCAGAACCTTATGGACTGTCTTCTTAAAGGTATTCCTGGGGTCCAGCCGTTCTTCGATGATGTTCTGATTGCTGCCCCATCTGCCGAGACCTTTGCCGAAAGACTGTGCGCCGTCTTGCAATGTTTCCACACTGCTGGGCTCAAGGTGAAACACGAAAAATGTATCCTGGGGGTTCCGAGTGTCGAGTTTCTGGGGTTCTCGGTCGATGCGCACGGCATCCATCCCACGCCCAACAAGGTCAGCCCCATTGTCAATGCCCCGACTCCAAAATCCAAGCCATAACTCCAGGCCTTCTTGGGGCTGCTGAACTTCTATAATTCCTCCTTGTCCCACAAGATCTAATGGGTGGAAATTACAAGGGAGTCGTTACTGGCTAAATATCAGGAGAAACGTCCTAACTGTAAGAGTGCTTGAGCAGTGGAACAGTCTGCCTCAGGAGGTGGTGGATGCTCCTTTGCTGGACGTTTTCAAGCGGAGGCTGGACGACCATCTTTCGGGTATGTTGTAGGTATGTAGGGCTATCTTTCAGTATACTCCTGCAGAGTGCAGGGGTTTGGACTAGATGACCTGCAAGGTCCCTTCCAACTCTAACATTCTATGATTCTATGATAGAGCAAAGAGCAAGCCCTCCCCAGAAAAACCACTCCCAGACCAAGCTGTGAGTAGGGTTGCCAACTGCCTGGAGGGGAGGAAATCTCCTGTCCCACTGGCGGAGGAGTGATGCAGTGATATTTACCAAGTGGTGTGATGGATCACTATGCCATGAAAAGTTTCAGCTACCCATTTCCAAGCATTAAGCTTCTGTTAAAGGGACAAGAAATTTTTCTCCAGGCCTATTGGTGACCATACCTGTAGTCATGGGAGAGGCTACGGAGAACAAGAAAAACTGTGAGAAAGTGACGCTTAATATATGTCTTTAAAGAATCATAGAAAAGTGAACAAAATTAATATACATAATCATAGAAAAATATATATTGACAGTGATCTCCGGAATGTCTTGCCATTTATCATACCAGCTGTAATGTATAGTAGAACCTGCCATGGGCTAAGCATTACAATCATCTTAGCCCATGGCAGGTTCTACTATGCATTACAGCTGGTATGATTATTGAAAATCTTCTTTGATAATTGTGAGACGTCACCAGAGGATATGAACTATTGAGAGACAGTTTTTGTCCCACATCTTTGTTCAGAAAAAGATTTTCCTTCGAAACGGCAAGACATTCCGGAGATCACCGTCAATATATATTTTTCTATGATTATGTATATTATTTTTGTTCACTTTTCTATGATTCTTTAAAGACATATATTAATATGCCATTAATATGCTCAGGGTCTAAAATATTCTTTTCTTTTCTACAGGGGTTGCTGGGTTAAGATGGCACGTATTACCCTTGAGGAACTGAATGAAATGGATGATGAAGACCTTGATGAAGATGAGGAACCCATGGAGAGGGAGGAACAGAATAGGCTGTTTTCTCACTGGGAGGCAGTAGCTAGCACTCACCAAGTGACGCTGCCTCAAGGTAAAAATTTGCATCCCAATCACAAGGAGTCCAAAGGCGGGCAGTGTTTCAAAGATGAACATCTCAAAGTGGCTTTTATACAGGATCCTCCCGAGGCTGCTCTCAAGTGTAGATATACTTTAGTTAATGCTTCAGCTCCAGCAGCTACATGCTGGAAACAGGGTTATTATATGCCTGGAGAAAAGTGTTGTCCCTCTAACAGAGGCTTAATGAGTAGAAATGGGCAGTAGAAGCTTTTCAAGGTATGGAGGTAAAAAAAATATCTTAATAAATAACATCCCATTAAGCCTCCGTCAAGGGGACAGGACATTTTTCTCCAGGCCTGATGGCAATCCTAACTAGTAAATATGCTTGTTTTTCATGGTTAGTGCAACACTAGCAAACTAATGCTAAGCTACTTTATTATAATTAAATTACCATGCAGTATTCTTTGCTCTTTCATATATACTAAATAATGCATTTTAAATCCACTTTGCAACTGGATTTTACTGTGTGAAATGGCAAAGTCCACTTGCAAACAGTTGCTGAAGTGAATTGAAACTGCATTATTTAGTATGTGTGATTATATGTTTAGATTGATTGCATATGTGGGTTAAATGTGTATTGAATATAGAGTTGGGAGTTGGATTTCCTGTAGTGTCCAACTACTACCATTAACTTGTAAGAAGTCCTTGCTTGTCTCTTCTTGCTAGTAAAGTTAAAATAAGACTGCTGATTACAGAATCATGGGCAATAGTAAAATAACTTAAAGAACTTTGCACAATGATATATGAAGAAGTTAAGTATTTGATTTGGCCTGTTTTTCCAGCAGTGAAAGAATTCTAAAAAACATGTTACCATCCATCAAGGCTTTTTTTTGTGACGGTACGGACCTTCATGCACTGCTGCAAGATGTCATTACCCATGTCCACACCCTCATGCACCAGGGATCTCCAGAGGGAGGGGAGAATTGTTGGAAATTGGCACAACATTATATATGAGCCCTGGCACATTTATTTAGCAAAAAAAAAAAGCGCTGCCATCCATCTGTCCATCCTTACTATTTCAGGAAATACCGATACAAGTATTTAATTAATATTTTTCAGTCTTTTTAGTTCCACCCTGTTAAAAAGGCTTGTGGGGAAATGTGTGCCTTTTCAAAGGATTATGGGACTCTGGAGATTTTTGATAGCATTTATCAGGTTTAATGGTTTTCCCAATTTACTGTTTTTATAGACATGGTAGGACCAATAGTACAAATGACACAACATAACCAGACACGTGAGCCGGCACCCTACACTGCATTGTCGCAGCATGAGAAGGTGAGCAAACTTTGCAGACATGAATACTTCTCACTTAGGGTTGCCAGGTCCCGCCTGGCCACCAGCAGGGGATGGGGGGTAGGGCTGCCATATCCAGGTTGGGAAATACCTGGAGATGTGGGGGTGGAGCCAGGGGAGCACAGGGACCTCAGTGGGGCACAGTGCCATAAAGCCTGAATCAGTCACTTTCTCCAGAGGATCTGATTTCTGTAGTCTGGAGATGAGCTGTAGTTCCAGGAGATCCCCAAGTCCCAAGGCTGGCAGCAACCCTATCCCCATTCCCGGATGAGGTGGTGTACAATTCCCAGAGGCAGCTCTGGCTGGCCAAATTTTGTGGAAAGGAGAGTAGGCACAAAAAAAGCATGCTCCTCGCCTTTTCTAATCCCTGACTCCTCCAGTCATTAAACTTCTGCTGACTCATCATGTGACTTCCCAGGAGGTAGAAAAAGGGGAAGGAAGGAGTGTGAAAAAAACAACAATGAAAAGAGTAGGAAAGAAGGGAATGTGCATGAGAGATAAAAAGAAGAAGGGAACTTGAACAGGATAAGGAAGGCGGGTGAAAGAGCAGTATGCAGGAAGCACGTAGATACCAAGAAACTCATCAGTGGGTACAATGGGTAGCATGTTTGGGATTACTGCCCCGATGTAACAAAAAAAAAAATGAACCCAGGGTGGGCATTTTGTGGACAGAGACTGGCTTGGCTGTCCCACTTCATTCTATGGGACAAAGTAAAGCTACATTCTGGGACAAAATTCAGGTCAGTCATCAGAAATGGGATAGACTTAGCCCTCACACCAACAATGTACCCTTCTACTTTCTTCTATATATGGCTCTCATTTTCTCTTATGTGGAAAGCAAACAATGTGGTAAGGGCAAAATCTCTGCTGCAGTTATGACCCTGGGAGGTTTGTTTCTCACCTTACTCCCTCTGTCAGGCTTCTCTGCAATGTGCACTGCTTCTTTCTTGTCCATTCACCACCAGTCATAAGATGGGCCTGTAGTCTAACAGAAGGAACAGCATGTAATGACTCTGAGTCTCTTTAGGAAAGTAGTCTTGGTTGGGTCTAGTCACCCTTGTAATGCTCATCCTCTTCTGCAGGTGAATTACATGAGAGAAACACTGTCACTTAAGTAGGCACCCATTTCCTCCTGATTGTTGAGGATGCATAGAATGTTCTCTCGAAGGTCCATAGCGTTCTGAGCAGATATTCTACCTCGTGAATGAAGAAAACTAGTAGCATTAAAGTTGTGAGCGAGTCTACATTTGATTATCACGTAAATTAGATTTTTAGAAGATTACTTCCATAACCTAGTAAAAATCTCAGAATAAATTATTTTAAATTATATTTAAGCTATATTTTAAGAATAATTTAAACATTATAAGAGAAAACAGAATCAAGTCAAATTTCTCCCACCCCTTTCCACTATATTGGTAGACCTGTTTTCTGGAGAACAGGTCTACCCACCCCTTTCCACTTGGCCTCTGGAGAATAGGTCTACTCACCCAGTCTGCTATATTGGTAGACCTGGCCTCGGACTCTTGCTCTTTGCTGTGCCTTAGAAAACATACCAGCACTTGGGGGGGGGGGGGCTCTTGCAGTCTACTTTGTGTTTTTTAGTGAAATATGACAACCAGCATCACGGGTCAAGTATAACAGAGGAGGAACAATCACTGTCAGAACCCTGCCTAACCTAACAAACAGGAAGTCGCTTAAATGTTATCAACCTCCCCAAACTATTTATTTATTCAAATATTTATATCCCACTTTTCCCTTTGACTCAAGGCAGCTCACAAATCATACTGAAAAGCATAATAGGGGTGTGCAAGAAATAGTTTTTTTCTGGATCTGTTGTAGCCTACAGGGACCATTATAGTAAATGGGCCCATAGACTATAATGGAGAATCAATCTTGGGGTGTCTGGGGCTCTGGGGGGGCTGTGTTTTTAGGTAGAGGCACCACATTTACAGCTGGTGTCTCTCCTCAACCCCTCCCCCCAAGTTTCATAAAGATTGGACCAAGGGGTCCAATTCTATGGGCCCCAGAAGGAGGTACCCCCATCCTCCATTGTTTCCAATGGGGGAAAAATGCTTTGTGGGCTAAAGCAGAAATCCCTGCACTGCCTGTTAAAATTTTGTGCACCAGTGCCCCCTAGTGCAGCTTAAAGGGAATTATGGATGCAAGAGGTTTGGATTTGTAGATCTTTGTTGCTGTGGGGTGGGGTTTTTTTTGCTGTATGTTCCGTTTTTTCCTTGGACCCATGTTAGATCAGCTTTTGTTTTTAGTGAAGAAACTAGTCCCCCATATCGTGACACAAGTGTGACCAGGTGGGCATGTTGCCTTTCACTCCTGTAGACATGGTAAATAGGTTCTTCAAGGATATTTTAATCAGTTCTTCTCTATCCAGCATGCATACATCTGTAGACTTTAGCACCATTTACCTGGATCAACCCGGTATGGTGTCAGCATTTGTCAGAGTAGCTCTTTGACACCTGTACTTCTTGTAGCCATCCAAATTCAGCACACAGTATTCATCGTTTTTGCTGTGTCTTGCATTTGACTCCATCTCTGTAATCTCAAATTTAATTCCCTGCATTTTAGCAATGAAAATAGCATGCCAAATATCCTTGGCCCATTTTCAAGCATGATGATTAAAAAGCTTCTTTGAGATTCTCCTGCTGTAACTGACACTTGCTGAATGTTGTTAATATAGGATACATCATAGAAGAGAAAACTCATGTTTACGTTTTTTCATTAGTATCATGGTCTGCTTAATAGTAATATTGTTTGCTTAATTCAGAAAAGATGGAGGCGATGATGACTGGAAAGGCAGAATGTTCGGCTGGTGTGATCTACCAGATTTAGACTGGGTTAAGCTCTTTAGTAGGGTCCGCGGTGGCTCAGAGGTTAAGATGCTGAGGTGCAGACCGGAAGGTCAGTAGCTCCGCAGTTCGAGACCCTAGTGCCGTGTGACGGAGTGAGCTCCTGTCTCTGGCCCCAGCTCCTGCCAACCTAGCAGTTTGAAAGCAAGAAATTGTAAGTAGATAAATAGGTACTGCTTCAGTGGGAAGGTAGCAGCATTCCATGCACCTCGGTGTTTAGTCATGCTGGCCACATGACCACAGAGAAGTCTTTGGACAGTGCTGGCTCTTCGGCTTGGAAACGGAGATGAGCACCACCCCCTAGAGTTGGATTCGACTGGTTTTCGAGCAAGGGAAACTTTTACCTTTAAGCTCTTTAGTAGATCAAGGTAAGAGCTCGGGAATGCCCGTGGACCTGGCCTTATTGATGGACAAACAAGTAGATGCTGTTGCTAGGAATGCCTTCTTTCAGTTATGTCTTGCTTGTAAACTGGCTCCTTATTTATATTCTGCTGACATAGTGATGTTCTACTGTTCAGATTATTGTAACATACTGTATATGGGCCTGCGTTTGAAGACATCTTGGAAGCTACAAATTGGTATTCCTGTGTGCCACTCAAAACTCTCTTTGCTTCTGGGCCCAGTTCAGTGCTGGTTAGTACCTTTAAAGTCTTTCATGACATGGCCTTCATACTTATTGAACCACATCTGTTAATATGCCCCCATACTCCAGCTGTGTTCTTCAGACATGCTTTTTACTTGTGGTACCCTCCTGTCCATTTGGCAACAACTAGGCCATGGGCTTTATTCCTTTGGGACGGCCTACCAGAGTGGGTGTAGAAGACACCTTCACTTGCTACTTTTTGTGTGTAGGTTTTTTTTGCATTTCTGTGCATTTCACATTGAAAGTAACATAGTGCGTGCGCCTATGCCTGGAAGTCATGGCAACCTCTGGCAACTCCTACTGGGGCATGGAGGACGTTCAGAGAAGTGGCTTGGTAGCCTGCCTCTGCCCCTTGGCACAGGTATTTTCTGGAGGGCTCCCATCCAAATACTTGCCAGGGTCAGCCCTGCTTAGTTCCTGAGATCTGTCGAGATCAGGCTTGCCTGGGCTATCCAGGTCAGGGCTCCTGCTACTTTTAGGGCAAGACACTTTTATTTCAAAGAGCATTTGGCAGAGGGTAAACTGTTTCAGCAGATTTGGCTGCGTTCTTTTCAAGTTCTGTGCATTTTTAGATCTTTGTGCTTTTTAATTCTGTGTGGTTTTTAACCTGTGCATTTTTAGGAGATTGTCAGCTGGACTGTTCTGCTTTGTGCCCTTGCAGTCTAGTGTTGTGTTGTTAGCCGCCTTGAGTCTGAGGAGATAAAGTGGGATGGAAACAGGGAAACTTCCTGCCACCATCTGGCTTTGCCCTCTGCTGCTCAGTTGTGCAGTGGTGGAAAGTTCATGGGGAAATGGTGGGATGATCAGCCTTGTGCCGAAGCAGTGACATCATTTCTGGCATGACCTGGAAAAGACATCACCATGTAGGGCAGTGTTCTAGCATTCACCTAAAGGCACCATACAAGATGTCTCCTACCATTAGATGGAAATATTTTAAATAAATAAATCACAGTGGAGTGATTTAAAGTCTCTTGCAATACCTTTTGTGTCACCTAAATGTTAGGCTCTCTATTACTAGATATCATGACAAAAAGCTAGTTCTCAAAAACAGCAGATGAGGTGGTAAATAAAGCTTTTTTTCTGGGAGTAGAACACCAAACTACAGGTGTGGGATGTTTTAGTTGAATGCTCATCACTTCAAGAAACATTCCTTGCACATAGAATACTGGCATGTCCAAGTGAAGGCTAAGTTAGAATCCTTCTCCTTGACTTCTGGTTTTCCATGTGCAGGGATTATTTAATTTTTTTTTATAACCAAAAGAAAACTAAGCCACTCTCAAGGAGAGGTGGATTGTAACCTTAGTCCTATAATTGGTAGAATCCTGGCAACTTACACAATATATTGTTAATTGTACCCTGTAAATGGTAATTGTCCACTTGAGTAGTAACGTTTGTGTCCATGAATTTTCCATGACATTCACACTCAGGGAATCATGGCTAGGACTGTGGGCTAGAGTCTGATTCTAACTTACTCA